TCGAACCGTCAACCCGTCCAACGGTTTTTGGCCATTTTTAAATTTTAATTTATTTTGTTAGAATGGGCTGTCTATTCGAATCGGACGGTCAAACCRTCGACTTGGAAACTGGTGGCTAGAACGGTTCCAGTTCTGGGTCGTTTTTTAAAACATTGATCATAACTATAAAATCTGGTCTCTTTTGCAGGTGTTCTAGCATTAACTGTTGCACCCTTATACATATCCTCAGTTAGGTCTTTATGCTTTTCTAAGAGCCTATTTGGAAATCCTTTTTCTTCTAAGAGCCACCATATTTGCTCTTTAAACTCTATAATATCCTTTTTCCATGTCAATGAACACCATATGATGATCTTTCTTTTTCTCTCTAAACATTTTTTATCAATCATCTCAAAAGAAAGACAACTTTCAATTTGATCTCCCTAGCATAAACCTGAATTGGTTATTTGATATACTTGTTTCCTGTTGTAATCTTTGCTCAATTATTCTATCCCAAAGTTTCACGGTATGGCTCATAAGTTTGATTTCATGATGGTTATTACCAAGGTTTAAAATGTTAGTCTTAGTGGAAATGTCAGTCATCCAAATATAGGGAACGTGTCGAAAATGTTGGAAATATTATTAAAATTATAGACATGATGGTAACATAGAAATATGTAAAAATATAGAATGATATTTTATGTAAAAAATGCTTAGGCACACCTTTTTAAATTATTATCTTGTTCTAAATCATTAAACAAAGCTAAGAAACTAAGGTGATAGACAAAATAATACATTAAGAAGTTATCTCATAAAGCTTAAGAGTCAAAACTTTTATTTTTAATGAAATTTTTATATTGCTATAAAAACAACCTTAATTCTGTGTTTGGTTGTAGTGCAAATTTATTTGCACTGATACAAAATTATGGTAGTGCAAATGATTTGGATGCAAATTCTGATTTACTTTTGTTTCAAACTTTACCTTATTTTGTTTGATTGCAGTACAAATGATGTAAAATAAGATCTGAAGCATAATAAAGTGAAACCCAAAGCAAAATTAAACCAGTTTTTGCATTCTTTTCGTTTGCTCTCCCATTCATTTGTACTAGTGCAAATTAAATCGCACTGCAACCAAACACAACCTAAGAGTAAAAAATACATGATAGAATGACTTAAAACAAAATTTAAACTCAGAAAAGGTAAATGATTTTAATAGATCAACCAAATAATCTATTACACAAACAAAAACTAATATTTGGCTTCATGTTTGAAAACAATATCAATCTGGTTCATAGTGGTAATCATGTCCCTTGGACAGGCAATAGCATTGCTGCTTTATATATCTATATTATTATTATGTTATAATACTATCTCTTGTAGCCTACATAGTGTTGATTCTGGTAGTGTTCGTTAGAGAATATGTCAATCTAGTAAAATTTCATGTTGGTACTCCTGGAAATGGAAATATTCATAGAAATATTAACCATGGTTATTACAACTTTGTATATTATTTTTGTTCTTAATATTTGAAAACATATCAATAAGAATGGTATATTGGATTAAGATGATAAAAAATCTTTGAGCAATTTTCTTTGGAAAATATCTGAAAGGGGTGGAAGATTTTGGCAAACTCTTCAACTTTAGACCCCAAAGTTCTTTTAACATGGGTCCATCCTGCTAAGGGAACGACTGTCAGTGGTGCAAAGATCAGAAAACAGCTTTGCTAATTCACTAGCAAAGAATGGGGCTAAGCTAACAGGGATGGTTATTTTGGGGAACAACCATTTAAATGGTTCTGTAGTAGTATGGAAAGGATTTGGTGGTAGTCATCAGCCTATAATATGTGATCAACCTTTTGTGCATACATATCATTCTTTAATTCTTTAATTCTTTAATTATAAGAGTTACAAGTTACCCAAATAAAAACTGATCTCTTTTCCTTTAAGAACTTTTACTTTTGAGGTAAACTGTTGGTATATGATCCTTTCTGTCTATTGGTGGGTTTTCTTAACAATGTAAGGTTCATTGGACCATTTTATGAAACTAATTATATTTTAAGCACACTTTTCTAGTATAGTGATCTACAGAATCAGATTTTGTTCTTAAAGTTTTATATTCACTATTTTCTCCAAAATAATGGTTGGATTCGCTTATTTTGTAATATATTTTATCATCCAGGTAATGCAGATGGCAAGGGAAACATTAGAAAGGAAGAGCTTTACCAGGCTTGTCTTGTCCTCAAGGTGATGAAACATTTGGACAAAAACATTCATATTTTTAGCACTCTGCCTTCGATACAATGTGGCCAGCTAAGAAGCTGAGTTGAAATGAATGATATACCATTGATTCTATCTAGTCATGGCAATAAAAACTAGGCCTTGGAACAAAACTGAAGTAAACTCAATGAGTTTCTAGGTCTTAAGATCTTAGGAACATTTAACCCAGGATTTTCTGCTTGCCATTCTATGGAAAATTTGTAACATTTGAAATTTATATACAGATTCCACGCCATCAAGTGAAGATCATAGACCATCCAGATTTACAGGTGAATCTATGTCTTTTCAGAAAAGCCTATACAAATATCAATCTCTTGCTTTAAATATGAAGCAGCTATTTTTGATTGTATTTTTGGTTATAATTTGGAAAGAGGTCACTAATAGGATGGATTTGAGGTGATGTGGAGCCATAGCCTACTGTCAAGTATTATCCAAGATGAAATTGCAAATCAGAACATTGACCTCGTAAGTTTTTTCTTTTTTCCCTTTTCTTTACCAAATCAGTTATTCCTCTCCTTGTTGTTACTCTTTGCAGATGTTATTAGCTTCTGGGGGCTTTTGGTAGCCCCTGAAATTATAATAGGAAAAGATTCAAAGATTTGAAGTGGCATAAATCCAGGGGTGTTGTTTATATATGATAAGATTTGTAAAATAATCACCCCAATGCCTGTGCTTCATCACAGTAATTAAGTTGGTTTCAAGTTTCTAAAGTGCTGAATGGTACATTTTTAAATTTGGAATATTTTCAGCAATTTTCTTTCAACATACCACCATATCACCAATTTTTTGTCCTGTATGTATTGGCTGTTACTATTCTTTATTATTATTATTATTTTTATGTGTGTGAACTATATCATTTATATGGTATCCTTCATATTTGCCCTTTTCTTAGAGGGGACTTAGAATTTACTGGGAATCAAAATATTCTGAATTGTGAATATTTCCAAATTGTCTTGGCTTTTATTTTTCAATATTATGCATTTATATGAAAATTGATTTTTGGAAAATTTTCATTGGTATTGATACATTTGGATAGGAACCTTTCCTTTGATATAGAACTTATTTGATCCTTTAACGGTCTTAGTGAAGATATGACCTAGGGCATTGGGAAGAATATGTTTCATGTTGTAGCAGAACCTGAAGATGAAGTGTCGTCTTGAGCCTTCAGGGAGGTTCAGATGATAGGCTACTAACAGCTATCTATCACAAGATCCCACCCGTTTGCCCTCAAGTTATGAATGTTCTGAAACAGCTATCTATCACAAAATGTCTCTTTCCATCTTCTCCAACCTGTTGGCTACCAAGTCTGAAATAGAGGGAGATAGGTAATACACGGGTGGACTAGTTAATCAATCTTAACTCTAATGGAAGGGCTTTCTGCCGTAGAAAGAAGATGGAAAGTTCACGATTGAAGTGAAGAAGCTGACACTAGAAGAAGGAAGAAGTAGAAACATTTCAGTTTTGAAACTAAGAGAAGGAAGAGCAACTATTTTCTTAATAGAAGTAGCTACACGTTGGCTGAAAGGGTTCATCGATGGAGCACTTTTGTCAGTGAAGAAAATCGGTTGGATGAGTTCGTTGGGACTTCAAGGGAGAAAATATCATGTGGTTTTAAAACTTAATCAGAAGGGTTGGTTTGTGGCTGTAACTGAGGTCTGTGGCAACAACAACATTTGGTCTGTCTTCCAGAAGGAAAACAGGGATCAGGGTGGAGGTTGTTTACTCAGAAACTTCAAGAATTTCTGTCATTGAAAGCTGATAATTTGCTTGAAGGAGTAGACCCCAAGAACTATCAATAAGTGATAGAAAATAAAGTGATTGTTGGCAGCGTCAATAAGGTCCAAAAGCTGGTTTCGGATGGAAATAGAGAAGGATGGGAGAGGAGACTGGTGTTGGAAGCACGTAGAGATGTTTCGGACTGGGGTATTATTTTAAACGTTCTGAAAAAGAAACTTCAAGTGGTTACAGGTGTGTCGGTCTTCCCTTTTGATAAAAGAAAAGCATTATTGGTTGTTGGAGAAAGAATAGTAGAGTTCGATAGCTTCGAAACAGGGCTGGGAGTGATATTGGTGCAGTGTATTATGACTTCCTTTCAACCTCTCGAAGAAGACAATTCTGGAAAAGATAATGGCGGCAATGGGAGGAGTCTTCATCTCTTGCAGCGTGAGCGTGATGAATCTCAGCTATGCAATGGTGGAAATCGTCGGAGTGAAGTCGGAAGTCGTCCCTCGATTAGTTGAGGTTTTCTCGAAGGGTGTGTGGACGAGGGTTTGGATCACGACGGAACATGAAGCGTCATTGTGGGGGGAAGGTTGAAAGGTTGAAGATGATGTTGATGTGGCAGGGTGGAGGTCACGTGGCAGCAAGGGCTTGGACAGGATATTGTTGACCGACATTCTAGAGCTGGAAGAAAAACAAGCGGGGGGAAAGAGAAATACGTTTCGTTCCTCGGAAAGGAAGAAAACTTCAAATGATTTTGAAAATGGGGAAATGAGGCTTGAGAAAAGGAAGAGAATGGTCTCTTCAAATTCGGGTACCCCGTTAGACCCGAATAGGTCTTGTCATAATACAGGTAAGAAGAGTGGGTCGAGTTTCAGGAATGAGTGCCCCGAACTTGGCGGAATTCTGAGGTCTTTTAGCGACTCGCTGGATAATCCCAACGAGTCTTCGTTTAAAACTATTGGTTACAAAGTTATTAGCTCTAGTATTTCGAGTTGAGTTTGATGCAAGGGAAGACGAGAGACGCTTAAAGATCAAGTGACCGAGCCAAAGGCTCTTATAACCCTTTGTCATTTACAAGATGAGACTTACAGGGGCTCAGAGCAAGCGAACTCAGGGGGTACCCTCTCAAGAACAGAAGACGTGCTAAAGACTAGTGGCTTTCAACTTCCATCGGCTACCTTTGAACAGGACAATCCCTTGAAGAATTTATACCGCCTAGAAGAAATCCTGAAGAAAGTTCAAGCCTGCAGCACCGAAGAGCACAAAAGCAGGGGTGAAAATCGGTTCAAGAGAAGGAAGGGCGACAAGAGAAAGTCTCCAAGGCTTAGCAAACCAAACTTTAAAAGGAGTGGACTAATAGGTAGAAGATATTCGAATGTGGCCAGAGAAAAAAAAAGAGAAGAATGGATTTGGGTGATAGCTAAGTATGATGAAAATGGTAGGAAGAGGATAGTAGGTCGAATAGGAAAGGCTCCCGACGAGTACTTATATTTTCCAGTGACTGGTGATGTCGGGCATTTTCCTCAGGTTAGCAAGGAGCTTGATAGGATTTGTGGTTTCTCCAAGCCCGGAGATGCAGTTGAGTTGCCCCTAGAGTCTAGATATGAATGTGAAAAATCAGACATGACGAGACCAGAATTTTTTGTCTCTATGGAGTCAGAGAGGTGGGAGGGGGGGGGGACAATTCGGAAATGATATAATGATATGCTAACGCTGATTTAGATCTGGAGATTGAAGGTGAGGTTACAGGAAAGGAAGCATCTGGTGGTGAAGAATTCCCTGAAGGACAGGGTGAAAACCTTGTAGAGGATAGACTACTCTACAAGGAGGTTAAGGTTGGAAGGGTGGGCATCAATTTGGGCAGAGGGAGCAATTTTCAGGAGGAGGAACAGATTAACGAGATGACCAAAAAGAAGCCATGTAATTTGAGAAACCATAACATCGTACATGTGACAGATTTTTTCAAGGCTAAAATTTGGCTTGGCAGGGGCAACCTACAAAAAAATACAAATGGGTGTAGAAGAGGAAAAGAATGAGGGGTAATGGGACATCTGGTACAAATCATAGGGAGGCAACAGAGCAAATCCAGTCTTCGGTCCCCCTTCAGACGAAGGAACAACAGGAAAGTGAGATAAGTGGGGTTGAGCCTGATTTTGGTGTAAACATGTTGCTGCAAAGTAGTGATATTATTGATGGAGAGTCAGGTGATGTAGTTCTCCAGAGATTAGTGGAGAGAGAGGTTGCAATCAGGAGAACAGAAGAAGAAAAACAAGGAGAAGAAGTTTCAAAGACTGGGGACAGGAATAGAGAGAAAAAGAGCAGAACAGATTCAAAAGGACCAAGAAGTCAAGGGATTAGTACAGAATGGGAAGGTGAATATCAATAAATTGGTGGAGAGGGAGGTCGAGATAGGAAAGCCTCTTGGTTTAGTTTTTTGGGGAGGGGAAGACTTTGCGAAAATAGCATTTGAGAAGTTTGAAAAAAAAAGAAATAGAAGAGAAAAAGAAAAAGGAAGAATACTTAGAAAAAATCAAGGGGTGGGATGAGGAAGGGGGAGAAGAGGAGGGACTGGATGAGATTGAGTGATATTGGGGTTGGTGGAAAATAGGGAGATGGGCAGGAAGATGAGGTTTCTTAGCTGGATTATGAGGAGTATGAGAGAAGGAAGGAGGGAGGAGAATGGGTCGAGCATTGAA